TGGAAAAAATATGAATGCCGCTTCCGGTAAACACGGGAACAAAAGTGGCGTAGTTTGTGATGACCGGTCTCTTGTTCTCAAAGCCACGGAGGGAGAACCATGCGACAGTGTGTGTGAGGCTCCGGAGACGCCGTTGGTATGTTTCTCCGGTGTAATTGTGTTTATGTACTTGATCTGTTGTCTCACTTTGCGAGAGTGCTATTGCGCAATCGTCTGCTTTTACGCAGCGCGGTCTGCCTGTGCTCCGTTGTTTGCTGTGTAATATAGAGCCTGTGCTCCGTTTGTTTGCTGTGTAATTTAGACAGCGCAGGTGTTCAGATGAGGTTTTCTTTGGTGCTTTTTCCAGTTTAGAGATAAACACTCTGATTAATTCATTTAAGCTAATGATGTGGTTTTAAAATAACAATTTATCCTTTTTATTAAAACATGGTTTGTGTTATTATTGAGAATGCAGTTAGGCCTGCAAAATGTTTAACATTGGTTTGTCCTTTTGTGTTTTGAAGGTTTTCAACCTGATTAAATTATTGGAGCTGTCTTAAATAAAGAAAGACAAAAAGAACAAAATTTGAGTTGTCCAAGTGTCCTCTGTTGCCCTCCAGCCTCTCAAGTCAGGCTAAATCACTGATACAGGCCAAAACCCTGAAGGACTTGACACACACAGTGGGTGTCAGGACCCTGCACAGTGGGACACACAGTGAATGTCAGGACCCTGCACAGTGGGACACACAGTGAGTGTCAGGACCCTGCACAGTGGGTGTCAGGGCCCTGCTGAGTGTGTGCTGGTCTCACCTGGTACCAGGAGTAGGCCCTGTCTGCCGGGTTGATGAGCACAGCCAGGATCTTGGCTCTGGGCAGCAGCGCAGCAGCTCTCTTAGGAGCCGCCTCTGTGTCAAAGTAGTTGGCACTCTTTTCAAACATGAAATCTGTGCTGACATTGGAAGGGAATGGGAAGAAGTCCATGTACCTGAGGATCGGAAAATAAAACCAGTACCAGTCAGCTTGTGTCTAAATTAGTACTTAAATCCCCTGGCCTTTTGTTCCCGTTATCTTTCACTGTTACCGTTTGAATCACAAAAAGAGCAGATGTCACACTGAATAATGATTACAACTCATTTCAAATACTGAACAAATATCCTCTTGTTGGAAGCTGCACTAATCTGGAATTTTGTATAACGTACGTAAGCCCATTTTTATAGTGTAGCCGCTCACAAAGATCCCTTCCCTGCATATGGGGAGGATGAGTGATCACACATTGACGTTGACATACATTCAGTAAATGTCAGGTAAGTACAACATTAATGGAAATGAAGGAATCAAATAAACTTGTACTTTCACACATGTACAATTGTACAAATGCACAATACAGCACACAGAGTGAAATTCAGACTAGCAGTATTAGGAGCAGTGGGCAGATACTGTACAGTGCCCAGGGAGAAGTGTGGGGGTCAAGGGTCTTGCACAAGAGAAAACAATAAGATAAACTAAACTGAACCTAAGAAAATAAGACCTATAAAGTTTTAAAGTAAAAAAGGAATTCAAATTCTAGTCATATTGTGTCCAGTTTGTCACCACGTTTATGGGACTTTGTGAAGACAGTGTTTACGGTACTCCTGTGTTACCAGTCAATCCCGTTGTCATAGTTTGCTCCACTGAAGAACTGGATCTCCTCAAAGGTGTTGGGGCTGGGAAAGGAGCTGGTGACTGCTGGGTGGAGGCTCAGGAAGGAATGAAGCGCTGTAGTGCCTTGAGGAAAGAAGACATTTAGAATAGCAAAGACATAGATATATTGACTAAGGTAAAGATGAAAAGCAGACAGAGTGCGCTACCTGTTTTCTGTGGTCCAATGACGAGAAACTTGGGCAGTCGGTCACAAGTCTTTTCTTTAGACCAGATATCTTTGTGTCTCTTATCATGACAAGGGTTCTGAAAAATATTCATGGTAATGCTTTTATTTCGAAGTACCTGCTATATTCAGTTTTCACACGTCTGCAAAAAACATGAGCTTGAAAAATAACTAAATCAAGATTCTGACCTGCCAGAGAGGGTCTCTCTCCTCGGGGAAAATCTGGAAGTATTTCTCGGCCAGGTGGACGGGGGGCAGCGTCTGCAGCTGGAGGTTGGTCCAACACTGGACAAACTTCACAAGAGACTCAAAGGTGTAGAGACCCAGCCGGTCATTGCCGTAGTTGGACAGGTGGGTCATGAAGATGCTGATCTAGATTGGGCAGGCACAAAGTCATCCGTTATTGTTTCAAAGACACAGGTAGCAGAAAAATGATAATGATTTAAATCACACTAGAAGTATAGGAATAACTCTTAACATGCATAATATCCTATTACAATGTTCTTTTAAAACATTTGAAACAAGATAGAACCACAAAAACAATGTGTGTGTTTTGGTTAAATGCATATTTATTTAACCTGACTGATATACATTTTCTTCTCACACACGGAGACACACACACTAATGGAGGTATTGGAGACACATGCTCAATATGTTACTAATATAAATGAGAGCTCCAAAAGAAAAGAAAAAAACATGCACACTATTGCTGTTGGTAATCTCTATTGGTCCTAAAGTCAAGTCCCCTCCCAAAACTGCTCTTTTCCCTCATGTCTCAAGTCAAGTAAATAGCTGCGATAGAAAAGGAAGAGTGACGACTCGGGCAGAGGATGAGAGTGTGATGTGCACCGCTCTGGTTGCGTACAGGGTTGAGGAGGACGGTGAGGAAGAGCTCTCCTCCTCTGATGCTCTTGTCCAGCTCCTTGGAGCCTCCTGGGTATTCGTTGTAGAAGATGGTATGGGTGAACAGCCCACAGGTCTGCCTGGGCAGCACCTGAACACAAACACAGGATGTTGGCTATTTAGTGCTAATGTGGTTTTGTTGGCATTTTTACAAACTGGTGACATTGTAGCTTTGTAATCAAACAGAAGTCTAATGGACTTTTGGATCAATAGGAACAGCCAGAGCCTGATCCATGTTAACCCTTTGAATGTTTGCTCTTGATTCTGCTCTCAAATGTCCCATTGCACTCAAATAAATAACAGTAGCACTGCACAGTGTTTAGAATAAAGAACTAGCACTGTATGATGTACAGTGCTTCTCCTAGGTTTACTGCATTGGGAGGGTGCTGCCTGAGGGGGGGTGGCATTGGGATATACAGTGGGGCAAAAAAGTATTTAGTCAGCCACTAATTGTGCAAGTTCTCCCACTTAAAAAGATGAGATAGGCCTGTAATTGTCATCCTAGGTATACCTCAACTATGAGAGACAAAATGAGAAAAAAAAAAATCCAGAAAATCACATTGTCTGAATTTTTGAAGAATTATTTGCAAATGATGGTGGAAAATAAGTATTTGGTCAATAACAAAAGTTCATCTCAATACTTTGTTATATACCCTTTGTTGGCAATGACAGAGGTCAAACGTTTTCTGTAAGTCTTCAAAAGGTTTTCACACACTGTTGCTGTTATTTTGGCCCATTCCTCCATGCAGATCTCCTCTAGAGCAGTGATGTTTTGGGGCTGTCGCTGGGCAACACGGACTTTCAACATCCTCCAAAGATTTTCTATGGGGTTGAGATCTGGAGACTGGCTAGGCCACTCCAGGACCTTGAAATGCTTCTTACGAAGCCACTCCTTCGTTGCCCGGGCGGTGTGTTTGGGATCATTGTCATGCTGAAAGACCCAGCCACGTTTCATCTTCAATGCCCTTGCTGACGGAAGGAGGTTGTCACTCAAAATCTCACGATACATGGCCCCATTCATTCTTTCCTTTACACGGATCAGTCGTCCTGGTCCCTTTGCAGAAAAACAGCCCCAAAGCATGATGTTCCACCCCGCATGATGTTTCCACCCCCATGTTTCACAGTAGGTATGGTGTTCTTTGGATGCAACCCA